ATATGGGTTATTTAACCTAATGTGTTATATTAATACAAACTAGGTAAACAGGTTATTTTAGTATGTTACGCTTTTTTACTTTAGATGGTGAGTGCATTTTTAGACTTTTTTATATGTAATCAAATTGCGAAACCTAAAGTTAACACTAAAAAGAAAATCTACATAATGATTTAACCGAATATGCCATACACATATGCACTGACGATATAAGGATATACTAACAATATTTATAAATCAATAAAAAAAATAATAGAGCAAATATAAAAAAAAATATTAAACTATACACACTTACAGATTATTAGGTCTTGTCGTACCTTAGGGTTGAATTTCATAACGCAAAACGTTTTGCCCTCATTTGCTTAAATTAAGAGTTCAGCGATATCCAGTACAAAAAAGCGTAAAGTGGATATCTACACCATGCTCAAGCAAAGCGTCACACCGGATATGGTAGTGCAAATCGTAATGGTATTTAATTGTGCAATACTCCTCTAAACAAGCTTTGGAGATATTAGGGTCATTTATCGATACAGTTAGATGGCTTAGATCTCGCTTAATAATACGCTCTAATCCTGTCAGTGTAAGATCGAACTTACGTAAACAATATGATTTGTTTAAGGTACTAGGTGTGGTTGTTACGTGCACGTTTCGTGGAGTTCTAGGTATGCTGGCAAGCTGATTCCACAAAACAGGTGGACCAAATCTATCCATCAGGAATGGGTTAAGGATAAATTTTAAACTACTAAGGTGTATAAATAAAGGTATTATTGATAGAAATTGCCCTACGACTGTAAAATATAATATTATATTATTCTGAGCCAAAAAACCGGTATGGCTGGCCGTAACTCCAAAAGTAGAAATAACTGCTGTTAATGAATCTGCTCTAGGTAGCTGTTTGTCACTTATAATTGCACCTTTGTATTCGCCATGCCAAGCCGTTACTACAACAGCTAATACTGAAAGTATTATATTAGTATTAAAACCTAAGTTGTGGAAACGTATTATGATTAAAGTAATCGTCTTAAATGCAATACTATTACTTGTTACTGCTATAGTACACATAGTATGTATACTAGATAATTTTAATACGCTTTAAGTGATGACTTATTTCTGAGTAATAAGGCATTTTTAATTGGAATTACAATAAGTTTCGAAGTTACAATAAGTAGACTTACGGTAAATATAAATATGAAAAATCTTTGTGAAAATGTGGTTGGATTAAATAAACCTCCAAACATACCGATTCGTGTTGCAAGAGGCTTTATAAACAGATTATTTAAGGCTAAAAAATTTGTGGAGATTAATCATAATACTACTACTACTACTCTATATAATAATATAGATTTATTTTTTTTTTCTTAGTGTAAATGCATTTAATAGTAATAAAAAAGAAATTAATAATAATAAAAGCATGTAAGGAATAGGTGATTTGAACACCTAACCTTTCGTGTGTAAAACGATTGCTCTACCAGTTGAGCTAATTCCTTTTAACATTTTTTTCTGCATATAGTTAACTAGTGCTTTTTTATATTAATCCTTTTTTTTGCTATATACTATCACCTTAAAGATACAAATAACGTAAAGCATAATATTTTTATGTTTAGTAAGGTAAAGTTATAAGTTAAATATAAGTAATAATTGTCATAATTTCTTTAAAGTAAAAAAAAATTTATTTTTTAACTACTATAAAAGGTTTAAATTTATACATCTGTAATATATTTACCATTAAGCTAATATGTTTTCTTCCCTTAGCTTTAGAAAAAAAAAGCATATGTACTTAGAGATAAACTATATATTATTATTGCGCCAATAATGGTGAGCCCCTCTTCATCGCTCACCAGCGTTAACGACGCCGCCGTTTAAGTAAACAAATGCTTATAGACAACCGGTATCTAAATATTACTGGTAGTTTATCAGACATATGGGAGCTAGCTTAGTGATCAATCTAAACTAACCCACATTTGTAATTTCCCGGGCAAGATGCCCAAGAAATAGTAATTTCCCCTGAGAAACGTAGAAATTATACACAGAGGTTTCCGATTAACATTGTACGGGCTAAACCATATAGCCAATTTGCTTAACTAAGGGTGATGTAAAAATAATCTCAAAATTTAATGTATTTTTCTTTTAAAGGTACTTTAAACTAATACCCGTCAGGGTTTAAAAGGGATTTTTCTTTACCCTTACTTTAAGGAAACCTTATTATTGCATATTTCCCTTTACACGATTTTATTATGTATATAGAATACAAAATAACGTACGATTAGCATGTGTAAAGCCTTTGCACAGCGTTGAATCAGAGCTATCATCAAACTCAATTACATATCGATACAAATTTAAACTTTATCAAATAAATCGGTTTAAAAGTATAAAGTTTACTAAACTAATCTAACTAAACATTATAAATATTCTGCATCAAATACCTTTCATTTAAGTCGAAAAAAAAACTGTTGCGCATACAGCTAAAGTAGTGGAAAAAAAAGTTCTTCTTTAACTTCCGCGTGGTCGCACAAAGCTGTACAGCCTTGCGGGTTTATACCCAGCCCCATCCATCGCTGGGTATCGTCATAGCCTGCACCATTGATACATTTATGAATCTCAAATGTATCCATGTATCCGTCTCACCGGTTGCTATGTCCGAATGTAAATAAGAGTAAATGTGAAAATGTGTTAAATAAACCTTGCAAATAGTATATTAAGATTAAACAATAATATTTAGTTATTAAGTGCTGCAGTTATACTAGTTAGTACCATGATCTAAGCCGGGAGAGAAATTTTAATTCTCATTATTAATGCATGAAATTAACGTTCTAACCAATTGAACTCTTTCTTTTTATTATATATCTTTGTTTAAACTCCACGTTTTTGTCTAAGTAATTTAACAATGTAGCGTGGCTTATATTAAACTCTTTTGCAGCACTACGAATTGATTTATATTCTTTGGTTTAAACTTTTACAGTGTCTTGTATAGTAATAACGTGAGATCTGGATAACAATTGATTGGCTTTAGCTAAACGAGAAAGAATTGTACCTTTTTTGCTTTTTTTAGATTTTTATAAAGCCTCAGCACTTAACTTACGAGATTTAAATTTAGATAATGTTTCTTCATCGCAAAGCGCTTGTTTAAACCCTAAACTAGACCCTGCTGTTGTTAGTATATTATATTCAGGTTTAGATTTATCTATGTAGTATTGTTCTTTTTCAATAATAATAGATCTATCACAATATTCTAGTATTTCTAAACGAAAGTTAGAATTGTTGTGGGCCAACAGTGCATTGTAAATCTTGCTGTTATATATTGATACTGTTTTACTTAAGTAATTTCTTGATAAATAATTGGATATACGTGAACTTAAATTAACAGAACTTCCTATATATGTTTTACCATTAATTTTATTAGTTCATTTATAAATCCCACATTTATCTTTGTTATCTTTCAAAATATTAACTTTGTCCTTTACTGGATCTTCGTATGCAATTGTACTAACCGTACTAGAGTGAAAATGTTAACCTTTGATGAGATTTGTACCTAAAAAAATTTAGGCGTTTGAAATTTAAATTATATAATGTTACTTTTACCATGAGCCAGAGGAGAAATTCGAATTCCCATTACTAATGCATGAAATTAATGTTCTAACCAGTTGAACTACTCGGGCTGATTATTAAAAGTAAATTATTGTATTGCGCTATAAAAATACTTAAAGGGTGGATACCCTGATTTGAACAGAAAACCTACTGTGCCACATACAGTTGCTCTACCTATTGAGCTACATCCACCTTTTTATTGTTTAGGTTTAAGACCTGTTATCCCAGTCGTCTTTATCACCACTAATGGTCGAACTAATACTAGGGGGGTGTTATTTTTGTTAACTACCTAGGGTGATATATGTTTTTTTTAGCGCTTTTTTTTTCCTTACCCCTCAGTAGTATTGTGACCACTATTCTTGTTTTATATTTAAAACCTTATGAAAATAGTCCTCCTGGGCCATGCATCATTGCGGTTCATCCATATAAGTCACAATTACCATAGATGTGCATCATTTTAACTGTAACTTCTGGAACTAAGGAATACTTAACATGCAGCCCATACATAATCTTTGTATAAACCGGCATCTTATGTATAAGAGTTGGGTTAATGATAAGGCTGTTTAGGATATAAAGACAATCACACGATTGTAAAGGAAGACTAGCAAAAGCATGAGGTTTAGGTGGACTGTTTATACATTATTCTAAGCTAGTATATGCTCTCATTAACAATGTTTGCAGGAAATCTGTATAAAACTGAGGTGTTAGTCAGGGATATCTTGATACACTGTTACCCTGCACCAGTTGAACGTATAAAATGTTCATAAATAATCATGTAGCTACTACAGAAATTAGGGATCCCACACTACTTATTAAGTTTCACCCTGCAAATGCGTCAGGGTAATGACTAATTATTCTCGGCATTCCCTGTAAACCTAAGAAATGTTGAGGGAAAAATGTTAAATTTACTCCTATAAATAATATTCAAAAGTGTACTTTTCCTAACATTATGTCGTAATTCAGCCCCAGTATTTTAGGAATTCAAAAATATCATGCACTAAATAATGCAAACACCGCACCCATGCTTAAAACGTAGTGAAAATGTGCTACCACATAATAGGTATCATGAAATGCAATGTAAAGTGAGGCGTTAGCCAACACTACTCCACTTAATCCTCCCACAGTGAACATAAATACAAACCCTAAGGCAAACAACA